ATTTATTGCCTTAGGAGTCTGAGACACAGAGAAGTCAAGCCACTTGCTTGAGGACTTACAGCAAAGTCAATCAAAGGCTCGATGAGTTTGGTGGGTTTGGGTTGCTTTGTGTTGGTAACTGCCAATGTCCTAATGGCTGAGGTGGGGGGATGCTCACACTCTCAGGCCTTGTCCCGTTGTCACGTGACCAGTGCCCAGCTGGCACTTCCTCAGAGGCACCAAAGACAGGAGGAACTTGTGGAGGGGAGAGGAGATGCTGGGACAGTAGTGACCACCAGGCAGAGCATCAGTTCTTGCCCCCAAGAGCTGGATATGTCAATCAAGGCACTCCAGGAGGAAAATGGGGCAGTCCGTGATTGCACTGGGTGAGAACCTGAAGCAGATGCAATCAACTCTGCTGAACCCTCTCTTTCCCCCAAAACACCTCAAAAACAAGCCCTGCGTCTGCTCAGCGCTTTCCAATTTACCGAGTGTTTTCATAACATTATCTCATTTCATTCTCACTTCAACCCACACACATTCTTGCCTTTCAGATTTCTTACGTACTCAAATGAGTTTCACCGAAAAATTGGCTAGAAACTTCCCTTCTCCTACTCACTTTTTTTTTTAAACCCAAGCGTTTGACTGATATCTTTAAGAAGCTCCCAGATTCCCAGGGTGAGAAATTTGTTTATTCTGCCAGCCTTGCCCTGCTGGGTGGATGCCAGTGGTCCTGGGCTTTGCTATTGGAACCAACACTTTTGTATTCAGTTGTATCATGCCTTTTGTATTCACAAAGGCATGATAAGTGGGGAAAACATAGGCTTTGGAAACAGCAAGCCCCTGAGTCACATTTTTGTTCAACCATTTGAGAACCACATGGCCAAGTTACTTAACTTCTCAGAGTCTCTGTTTCTTCATCTGCAAAATGGAGCAATAGTGCGTAGGTCTAAGGTTGTTGTGAGACATAAATGTGGCAAGAGTTATGAATGTACTTTAGCAAATCTATCTTTTTCTTTCTTTCTTTCTTTCTTTCTTTCTTTCTTTCTTTCTTTCTTTCTTTCTTTCTTTTTTGAGACAGAGTGCCGTGGTGTCAGCCTAGCTCATAGCAACCTCAAACTCCTGGGCTCAAGCAATCCTCCTGCCTCAGCCTCCCAAGTAGCTGGGACTACAGGCATGTGCCACCATGCCCGGCTAATTTTTTATATATATTTTTAGTTGGCCAATTGATTTCTTTCTATTTTTAGTAGAGATGGGGTCTCGCTCTTGCTCAGGCTGGTCTCGAACTCATGAGCTCAAACAATCCGCTGCCCACCTCGGCCTTACAGGCATGAGCCACCATGCTCAGCCTATTTCTTTCTTCTATTTTCTTCCCCAAGGTGAAATGGCTACATCATAAAGTCCCTCATGGCTAACCAAAGTGCCAGCCTCACCACTCTGAGGCAGATTAAACACAATACTGTCTTTTTGCAAGCCAGAGAGAGAGAGAAAAAAAATGTGGGAATATATTGCCAAATGAATTTAGATGGAGACTTTTTTTTTTTTTGAAAGGGTCTTGCTCTGTTGCCGAGGCTGGAGTGCAGTGGCATGATCATGGTTCATACAACCTCAAATTCCTGGAATCAAGTGATCCTCCTGCCTCAGCCTCCTGAGTAGCTAGGATTACAGGTGTGCATCTCAATGCTCAGCTAAGTTTAAAATTTTTTTTTTAGAGATGGGGTCTCACTATGTTACCCAGACTAGTCTTGAACTACTAGCCTCAAGCAATCCTCTGGCCTTGGCCTCCCAAAGTGCTGGGATTACAGACTTGAGCCACCATGCCTGGCCATTTTTTTTTCAAACTGGATGAATAATTAGCTACATGTCCTGCACATATGGCACAGTTGCAACTGAGGTAACTCTAATAAGATTTTAAGTTCACTGCCTTTATTCTTTTTTGAATTTTTATTTTAGGAAGGAGCAGGGAAACTGGACTTATGTAAATGTTGAAAAGCAAGGCAATTGTGATTACATGTGGATTTTTATTGAAGCAGAATTGTAATTAGTCCCATAGTCCCTGGGGACTTATTGCAACAAAGGAGAAGGGAAGGAGGGAGTGCAGAGGGCTCTGATTGTGTGTTTAGTTCACTGATCTGCATATAGTAGATGCTCAATAAATGTTGGTGATGGACTGAGGCATTTTAGAGAGCTCAGATCTTGGGTTTGACCTTTGCTGCTGACTTCTTGGCAAATGCAGTGCAAGACACAGTGTTATAGCGGAAAGAACATTTGACTAGCGGTCTGAAACCTGCATTCAAGTTCCATCTACACCACTTAATAGCCTGGCGACCTTGGACATGCCATTTAATCTCTTAAGTGTCTTCTCACTGTAAAATGAGGAGACTGGAATAGGTGATTTGGAAGGTCTCTTTCAGCTCTAAGGTTCTGGGGCTCTAAGTAACTTCATTCGCTTATGTTTCTGTTTCTTCATTTATTCAAAGGCAGTAGGATAGAAACCTGTCTCATAGGGTATTGGGAAGAAATGATCAGTGTGCATGTTAAAATACCCTGTCACTTTAGAGATATGAAGGAAATGCAGTGACCCAGAGCAAGAGTTATGTAACAGAGTGATCAACTGAGTATGCCTGCAACCTCTGAGTTCCAGGCCCAGCCCAACCACTTTCTACCTGTATGATCTTTGCCAAGTCCTCTAATTTATTTCAGCCTCAGTTTACATACCTGTAAACTGGGGAATGTAAGCTATGCTATGTTAATCTTATCACATTCTTTTGAAAGCCATGATAGTGAAATGCTTTGAAAAACTGCAAGACACTATATAAAGCAGTATTACTGAGAAATGGCATACTTGCTATGGTCATATTGAAGTTTAGCACCATGCCTCCCATAAATTCAAATGAATGAATGTGTCACTGTGGGGCCAGAGGAGAGACAGAAAGTACAGATTTGGGATCACAACCGAAGGCTTGTTTTCTATTTTAACTTACTGACTAAAGTGAAATTTAGTTAAAATGGGCACTAAAACGAAGTTTCCCAAAGAGTAGGCATCGGATAATTACTTTGGTGTTCTCCAATGTAAGGAATTGTTCCAGAGGCCAGATAGCTGCTGGTGGAGGCCTTGTTCTCCACACTCTTCTCCAGAATGAGGCCATTTTGACACTTACCTTGTGTGTGGTGGGAGAGGCAATCGATTTCTGAGTTTGGAAAGTTTCACATGGGAGTAATCACAAATATGTAAAGTGTGTCTGTTGTCATAAAAGTGGTATGACAGTCTTTCATCTCAGGCCTTGCCAGGGATTGCTACAAGGGAGAATGGCAGAAGGTTCCTTCACACTCACCCCAAGGCCTAGCCCAGACACTCTTCTCTGAGTGCCTGGAAACCAGCTCTCCAAGCATTGGCTTCTTCTTTGGAGACCTAGATGGCAATGTGCCACACCCAGCCAGCACAAACAGCCCCTCTATTAGCAGTCATTTCACACCTGCCCATCTCCCATTATCTCCTGTTCATGAAAGCATGTCCCCTGTCAGGACACCACCCCAGAGAAGCAGAATTAGGTGACACTTTGCAGCCCAAATCCATTTCTGATTTAGCTTGGGGGGTGGGGTGAGGAGACAGACTCCTGAATTTCTCTGGTTGGAGGGGACAGTTAGGAGCTTGTCACCAGCTGTGTTTTCATACGAAGCACATTATTTTTACTTAGGTTATATATATGAATGATTGAAAATAGCAAAGGTATTTTTAATTAAATTGTTCTTGTCAATTCTTATTATTTTTATCTGGGCTGGATTTGGGGGTGGATGATGAAGTTATGAGGGCCCCCTCTCTCATCCTCCTCACAGTCTTGTCCCTACTAAATCTCACCATTAATCCCATCCTTTTATGTCAGATAAGTTTATGTATTAATATTTCCATTGTTAAGCACATATAGTAGTCCATGGATTCAGTATATTCACTGCCTTTCTTTCAAAGAGCTGACTTCAAAGCAGATTTAATTTTGCTTATATTTTTGATACCTTTCACTCCCTTTCTCCAGCCGTTGTGTACACATAGGTTAGGGTTACAAAGCCATTTTCCAGGCATAATTGAAGCAGAGGCCACAGAGCGGCAGCGCTGAGTCCCGAGTCAGACCTGCAGCGCCCCAGCTCCAGGGTCAGCGCGGCTGGACCACCTGGACAGCCCCCCCAGCTGCAATTCCTGGGCAGTGTGGGAGGCGTGGGGCTCAAGCTCTTTGTTTCTGCTGTCACAGAGCGACCCCCCTCCGAGCAGCTCTGGGAGCCGAGGTCCGATGAGGGGTGTGCTTGCGCGCCGCCCACCCGCACCCCCAGCCCCGCCGCCGGCCGTGTGCGTCCGTGTCCAGTGAAAAAACCCTGGGTCCACAGCATATCCTTTCTCCCACAAATACAACGCTCCACGGATCTCAGGGTTGCAGACCAGTCCCCCGCAAGCCAACCCGCTTCCAGCGGGCGCTCGGTCCTCCAGCTCCGCGTCCTCCCCACCTTCCCACTGCGTTTTGGCGGCGCTGGTACCTCCGCACAGCTGGCAGGGATGGAAGGGACGCGCCTCTGCGGTGCCGCGGGCCGGGATACCAGGGAGGGGCCTATTTTGGGGGAATGAGCGCTGAAGAGGGGTCCCGAAGTGTGGGCTGGGGGCGGCCAGTGGGTGCAAGAAAGGGCACTAGCCCCAGGCGTTCAGGGTGGCGCCCTCCTGCGGCTCAGCGCGGCCGCCGAGCGGTCACGTCCGGCGCGGCCTCCCGCGCCCCCAAGTCCAACTCCGCCGCCCCGGAACCCCCCGCCGTGCGCGGGCGGGGGCTGCGGGCGCGGGCGGGCTTGCGGGCGGGAAGCGGCGCTGACTGCGAGCTCCAGCCCGGTGCGTGCGCGCGTGTGTGCGAGCCGCGGGCCGGGAGCCGCCGCGAGCCCAAGCCCTCGGGAGCGGAGCCCAGCGCCCCCGAGCCGCCGCCCGCGCGAGCTGCGAGCGCTGAAGCCATTCATGATTTGGGTGACGTTATTCCAGGAGTGGGCGAGGGGGCGGGGCCTCTCGGAGCCAAGCCCCGCCCCCGCCCCTATAAATACAGCTTCCCGGGCTCTTTGTGGGGCCAGGAGCTCGGTGGAGAGCAGGGAGCTCCGGCTGTTTTGCCGACGCCGCTGGCCGCGGGGCTGTCCCGGGAAGGCGGACGGCGAGCGCCCGTGTGCGCCCGTGTCATCCTCGCTCGGGACGCAGGGACCGTTTTTAAATCACAAGGGCGTGGGGCAGCCTCTCTAGGACTTCATGTCTGTATATTTCCCCATTCACTGGTGAGTACCCCGTGTCTGCGGCGGGCGGCAGTCTCGCTGCCGTGGCTGCGGGGCCCGGGCGCCGACTCTTGGGCTCCGGGTGCGAGGACAGCCGGCGTCTCTGACGCGGGGCGCTAACCCGCTGCCCAAGCCGGTGCAGGAGTCAACCTCAAGGTTGCAAAGGTGGGGGTGGGGGGAGGTAGTGCTGAGAGCATCCAGACAAAGGAAGTGAACTCGGAGCCCTCACTTAAGTGACGAATGTAGGGCTTGTATGGGGGTTGGGGGAGCCAGGGGTCACGTCTGAATCCCCCCAGTGACACCCCCTGTGCGGGGCTGCGGGAGGCGCGCGCCCTGACTGGCGCAGGGGGCTCTTGCTCTGCCCGGCCCCTCCCCTTTTTCTTTTTGTTTGCATGCAAGTCTCGGTGTCGAGGCCGGCTGCAGTGGGGCTGAGCTGGTGCAGCCGCGGCGTTTGCAGAGTTCCGGGGGGGGTGGAGGAAACACGCTCTCCCCACACGTAACACAACCGAAGCCATCAGCAGCAGGGCACACGCTGCATCCTCTCGACCCTTGACCTCTCCACAGCCCCCACAGACCAACGCACCCTGGTGGGGCCCAGGGCTGGGAGGAGCCGCCCCAGCAGTGCGGAGCTGGAAGGAGCCGGGGCTGGGCCAGGGGTGGTGGAGGTTTGCCCCCGGCGGCGGACCCCGGCCGGGAGGGATGAGGAGAGAGGCCCCTGGCTGCTGGGACTTGCGCTCCTTCCTTCCTGCGCTGGGTCAGAGGAGGAGCGGCCGTGGGGGGAGAGCGCTGGCGGCCGGGAGCGCGCTCTCAGGTGCGGGTGTGAGGAGCCCGGCCCGGGTCGGGGGCTGGCGCCTGGCGAGGGGCGGCGGGGCGCAAGCCTTGGCCCGGCCTGCCTGGCCCAGAAACCAGAAAGTTCATGCTTCTCTCTTCAACTTTTCGGCCCGACCCACAGCCCTGAGCGAGGACAGAGGGAAGAGCCCTGTAGGGAATCTTCTGTTTTGTTTTTTCCTAGTTCTGTCATTTAAACGAAAATTCAGGGTCGCTCTGTGCATTTCTTTGGGAGTCCAGTCCTTTCCATGACCTGGGAAGAAAGCCTTAGGAGGTCCCAGCACCTGAACCTAAGCGTGCCCTGAAGCCCAGCATCTTCTCTTAGCCTCCCCTTCCCCACCCCAGCTTGGCTCTGTTTGGAGAGGGGACTGAACTTGTAGAACAAAGTAAAAATTCCTTCACACCTGAGGCTTGTGTACCCCTCTCCTTCTGGGTGTCCTCCCCTCCCTCCCCTGTGGTGTGTGAGCAGCCAGGTGCCTCATGGCTGAGGTTTTTGGAGGCTTTTTGCCTCTGGCTGCTCAAAATTTCCCAAGGTGGGTGTTAGGGCTCATCAGGAATATTATGAGAAATTATGGTTTAAGGTTATTTTATTGATTAGCACTTCACAGTTTGCAACACTTTTTTGCAGACATTAGCCCTTAACGTAACTATGAGATAGGCATTATTCGCATCATAGTAACAGACAAACAGGGCACTTGTGGCTCAGAGAGGTTGTAGGACTTGTTGAAGATCACACAGCTGGTGAGTGGCAGAGCAGAGACCAGAACCTATTGCTTCTCTTTCCAACTCCAGTGTCATCTTAACTATGTAGCAACTGCAAAATGAAGAAGAGTCCTGCACCCCTGTTTTGTTAGATACAGGCCCTGGAAAGCCTGTTCCACCCCTTTTCCCCCTTTTTAAACCACATGCACAGGCACGATGGTGAGGATATTGGGTGTTGTGTAGTGGGTGCTTAGATTTGGTATGTGTATTTGGCATTATGTTGATGGGATCTTGTGTTTGCCCATAGCTTGTGCAAGGATAATGGAACATTTGTATCCTGCTTAGAGAGTACAAAGCACTTTCACATGTCAGCCATTGGTGGGCCAGCTTGGCCCCTCTGGAAATTTCCTTTGCAATCAGAGTCCGGTATCCTTAAGGCTTTTAATCCAGGGGATGTTTTTCAAGCTGTGAGTTTGCAGCTGCTGTGGCTGGGGCTAGAGAAGGGGCTTGGCTGACAGATGTGAAACTTGCAGCAGAGCTGACCCCTTGGGGCTTGAAGTGGGGCATTTTGCCAAAAAGAGCACCAGAGAGGCAGAGAGATTTAGGAAGCAGCATGATTGGACTTTGTTTCCCTGAGGTTGACCTGTTATTGTTATTATGTAATAAAAGCATGCAGTTCCCCTTTAGAAAACTCACATAGATTATTTTTATTCTTAGTTGGAGGGGTGAAAGGATCCATGGTTGAATTGGTTTTAATATAGACAGATGGACTCTGCAACCTACTGTTTTGGTTTTTTCTAGTTCTGTCATTTAAAAGAAAATTCAGGGTCACTCTGTGCCAGGGGGAGTAGTGTACAAGAAAGAAGGGAAGAGGTTTGCTGGGGAGGTGCAGACAATGGGCTTTGTTGGTTGGGGTTTAGAGCCCTGGTGCTGTGGGCTTGCAAAGCACTTCCTCAGGGTGTGAGCTTGTTTTTCTGCGAGTTCTGTTTTGAACACCTTTCATCCTGTCTCCAGACAGTCCCCTGATCCCACGGGTGGCAGCAGCAGCGAATGCATGGAGAGCAGGAATGTGAAAGCGGTGTTTGTTGACTTTTGGTCTGGGTTTCTTGGCAGCCCCGACTATCTGAGATCAGCCGAGATGACTGAGGTGATGATGAGCACCCCATCCATGGAGGAGATTGGCCTCAACCCCCGAAAGGATGGCCTTTCCTATCAGGTGAGTTAACTACTGGCTTCCCCTAGACCCCTCAGAGCCTGGTGGCTCTTGCTGGGGCTGGAGACGGGTGTGGTTTTGCAGCCCACTGCCACTTGCAAGAGCTGTGTAACCTCGGGAAAGTCCCCTAATGCCAGTAAGCCTCAGTTTCTTCATCTGTAAACTGGAGCAACAGTAGTCCTTACCTGATAGGATCGTGAAGATTCAACATAGTGAATGGATGCGTGTAAGGCATTCCTAGTACCTGGGACACAGAAGAGTCAGCAAGCATTAGCCATTGTTACTAAGTAGTCATCCTGGCTCTGTGTACTCTCCCATTCACAACAGCAAAGGAGGAAGTGACTTGTGCAGTCGATTCAGACCAGAACTTCCCTTCCTAAGCATGCCTTGGGCATAGAGGCATTGCAATGAGGGGTGGCTTCTGGGGAAGGGTGTTCTGGTGGGGGATAGCCGTGTCCAATGCTGCTCTGTTCTCAGGTTGACAATCGACCTGCTAATGCAGGGTTGACATTCAAACTACTTAGAGTGGAAGAGACACTTCCCCAAAAGGGAAGAAGCTATCTCTGGGATGCTATTGCTGGGATCTAGCTTAGAGATCAGCATGTCTGCTGGATCCAAAATGCATAAAGACCACACAAAGGACCAGAGTGATCCCTCCGGACTCTCATCCTAGCCCTCTTTCTGGCCCGCCTTGCTGTTTTTTCACTGCCCCTGGGCAGATGACAGGAACGTGACAGATCACCTCGCTCTGTGAGGCAGAGAGCTGGTTTGGGATTTGCCAGGAAAGTTCCTAAGTTGTTGAATTGTGGGGAGGAAGGTGTCTGCTTTCAAAGGAAAGCTTTGGGGTTAGGGTTAGGGTGAAGGTTAAAGTTGTGTAGGGTGGCCGGCCCAGGGGGTCAAATGGGGTGTGGTGAGTCCATGCAACAGACATGAAGTGTGTGCCTGCTGCAGGCCAAGCCATTTACAGACGTCACCTTGCCGGCTCTCTGCCAGGTGGGAATGCTCACCCTGCCTCAGCTGAGGGAACCCCAGAGCCTTGTTCTTCTGAGGTATTGTCTGTCTGCACCGGGGGTTGGTTCTGGCTAGAGTCTAGATGTAATCTGGCTGGCCAGTCCTCAGAACCATTCCAGGGGCATTTATTTTGTAAAGAAAGAAACAAATAGAAAGGTGAGGTGGGTGTAATGGAGAGAGAAGGACCAAAGAGAGTCAAGATGGAAGCTCAGATCGGGTGACGTAAGTTCAGACACGCTTGGGAGGTCCAAGGAGGCCCTTTGTTTTGTGTCAATATAGTCAGGCCCTTTTGCTGACTGGAAATAAATGTGACATTAGCGTGAGGGGGCTCTGGGCTTGAGGGGGAACACTCTTTCCTGGGTTGGTTTTATGCCCTCTCCCCTAGAGCGGGTCCGAGGAAGACAGTTGAGGGCCTCACAGCCTGGTGGGAGGTGTAGAAATTTCCTGGCCCACCAGCTGGGGTGGTTTTGGATACCAGTTTCCAAGCCACTGAGTCAGACTGAATGTCTTCGTGGTTACAGGTGAGGTTTTCTTTCAGTTCTGGGTCTTAGATTTCCATCACAGAACCTTTCCAAACTCAGTCATCGTTCCGTCTTCTGTGTGCTTTGTGTATTCTCTTTTTAAACACGTCTCCAGATAAAGAGCCAGACCCCACAGGGCAGTTTTCTCAACCCTTTGAGTCCTTCAGGCCACTCCGCTGGGCCTGAGTGCTGGGGCGATGGGAGGGAGGCAGGGGCTGCCACACCATGGGGAGGGCTGGGTTGGCAGGAGGAGAATGAACTCCCCTCTGGGCTCCTGAGATAGCTCAGTGCTGCCTGAGGAAAGGATCCTCCAATCTCCCCTTGTGGTGCTGGACCGAGGGCCCAATTCTCAGGGCCCCTCAGAACATCTGTCACCGATACCTAGGCGGAGACCACTGCCCAGTTCTAAAGTGTCTTACCTGGCACATCAAAGCATTCTTGTCACAGCTTTTCACAATTTTTCTGACTTCAGAAGGATCTCTTGGTTGCCTGATGAAGAGAAAGGGGAGAGGTTGGAGCATTTAACCAAGCAGCATTTATTGGGCACTTTCTGTGTGCACCCTGCTGGGCTGGTCCAGGGCCTGTGTGAGAAACCAGCATGTACGTGAGCATCTGGAACCCAGGCAGTGTGGTCAGTCCAGGTATGGCGCTACAGAAGCTGTGGTCAATCAGGTATTGGCAGCAATGGTGAAATCTGCCTGACAGAATCTAAAAAGGGCTTGGAAGGGGGAGATCAGACTGGAGCAGGGCTTTGAAAGAAAATGAGGACTTTGAGAGGGCGGCGCCATCTCTAAGGTGATTTTGTCACATCTTCAGACACCCCACCCCAGCTTAAGCCAGGTGTGGGGCCCGGCAGGGAGTGGGTCTGATGATGGTCCCGTGACGCGCAGTCTCAGGGCCCACTCAGAGCTAGTGCCATCCCATGGCTCACGGTCCCGCCACAGATCTGGGGATTGGCGGGGACTGGCACTTGGCCGGAGCCCGTCAGCTGTGCGCGCTCGGGCAGGCTGGGCGCTGGGGGCGGGGGATCTCTGAGCTCTGTTCTTGGCGTTCCTCCTGAGGATAATAATAGTACGCGGCTTTTACCAAGACCTGCTTTTCTAAGGAACCGAGAGTGGGAAGGAGACATCAATCCAGACTTGGCAGATGAAATAGAATCTCAGGCTTGTGATTTGACCTTGAAACAAAGTCATCAAATAAGTGGCACCGTGGACTTTGTCAGTCACTCCCCCGCTTCCCAGACGTACCGAGAATGAAGCTTTCCTGATTTCTCTGTACCAGATGTGACCTTTCTTTCAACGCCTGTGGCATTTTGTACTTTCCAGTGATGTTGTGCGGGGCTTCGAGGATACAGGGCCTGCTTTGCTGTCTCGCTCAGGTCCTTGAGGGCCGGGCAGGACCTGCTATCATCTTTGTACGCCTGCCCTATCCAAGCTGCCGCCATGCTCAGTGCCTTCGTGGGGCACCTGCTAAGGGGACGGTGGTTGTTTCCCTGGAGCTGAGTCTCCTGACTCTAAAGCTGCCACCTTCCCTTCTGCCGTGGCCTCTGTAAAGGGCCTGCTCGGGCCCTGCCTGTCAAGGCTTCAGCGAGATGCCCTTTTAGCCCCTGACAGATTCAGGTAAGCCCTATTGTCCTGGGGCAGTTAGTGCCATTTTATGAGTGTGTATAAAAATCGACTGGAGTGGCGCCTTGTTTTGTGTTGACATTCATTTGGAGAGTTAGTCGTCCAGTCAGTGAAATCCACGTCTGCACAATCACTTAATGTGAACTGTGACACCCATGGGGTGGGTGAGTAAATGATTACTAGAAAGTCTGAGCACATTCGGGCAGGCTGTGGGCGGCAGCCAGCTCACCAGCTGAATGGGAGGGTCTCCAGGAGGACGTGTTTGTCCCTGGCTCCCTCCCACGCTGCGTCTGTGGGCCTCCCAGCATCCAGCCTGCAGGCCGGGAACATCTGCCCCGTGCCTTCTTCTTCCTCTCTCTCGTTCAGGGAAGCGAGTCAGTGGCTGCAAGGTGCAGCCTGCTCTTCCTTGGCCCCAGGGACTCTGAGAATGTGGTGTCGTGATGCCTCTCGCACTGGGTCTCCTTCCACGCTGTACCCGAGTTGGCCCGGGCTCGTCTGAAGGAGGGTCCTGGAAGTCCCCCTGTGAACACTGATGCCGCTGCAGCCCAGGGCACTGGGACCCTGGCCTTGCTGCCTGATGTCCCCCAGCACACTGTGCTGAGGCTTCCGCAGTTTCATTGCTGAGGTCTAGATATAGATGTGGCTCCTTGGTTTTCATTTAAAACTGTCCCTTCCAAAGCATCTGGACGGAGACCTGATCACTTTATCCTTCCCTAGGCTCTTTAAATTCCTCTCTAATCAGCACACGTCCCCTCCTGGCTGCCCTTTGTGCATCATTCTTGGTCACGTACTCTTGCCATCTGACATCCACCTGTCAGTCAGGCAAGCCTGGGCCTCTCAGGGAAGCGAGGGAGGATGCTCCTCGGCCAGAAGGAGCGATTTTTTCACACACGCGGGGCCCTGTGCCCCGTGCCCTGTGCGTCCCCTTTGCTTTGCAGAGCCGAGAGCTCCCTGCAGCTGCCCCTTCATTCCCCAAGACAGGAGGGAGGGGGATCCTGGCACTTGAGGAGGTGGGTGGCTGAGCTTTCTTGCCTGGACCCTAGTATTCCCTCCTGCAGCTCGGTGCTGAGGCGGGGTCTGCAGGGCCAGCGGGACCAAGAACAGCCTCTCTCGGGAACACCATCTCCTGCCCTTTTATCTCTCAGCCCCACAGCGGCAAACTCCTTCCTCCCTCTCCTCCCCACTGTTTATCAGAGGCAGCAGAGCAGGCTCAGTTTGATCCCCAAGGCAGGCGCAGCTCAGGAATAAGGCAGGCGCAGCTCAGGAATACTTTCTCTTTGCTCACCTCTCGCTACGAAGGCCTGAGCCTGGCCTGGCTCTGCCTCTGCCTGCGCAGAACGCACGTGTTGAAGTCGGTGTCGGGTTGTGGCTCCTGCCCAGCGTGGCGCCTCCACCCGCCCCAGCCCCTGCCCCTACTTTCGAGGCCATTCTGGGCACTACATATCCATGACATTTGACGATTGTCCCCTGCTCCTCACTACCCTGGCGTGTTGGTTACCCCCAGCCGTAGTACCCCACAGGTCCTCCAGAGTTTGGGAGGTCCTGCTCGCTGCAGCCACACGCAAGTCCCATGGTCATTAGGAAACCATCTCTCAGGACATCAGCCTTGAAAGACCTCAAGTGTCCCTGGAGAAATGTAAGAGCTAAATTCCAAAACACTTGGCAGGAGACGTTCAGCCATGGACACAACATGTTTCTGGAATTGCAGGAAGTTTTCCCTCTGCTGCCCCTACTCCCTTTATGCCCCCCGCTTGGTAGGAATCCTACTAATGGGATATAACGCAGGCAGCCAGGGCCACCTGTTTCAGAAGCAGAGAGAGCGTTTCTCCGAGGAGCGCCGGGCCTG